TGAAGTAATATTCCACTTGGACACCGTTGAGAGCCCCTCTTCCGTGTCTTATGTTACTTGTGTTGAATCAAGAAGGCTGATACTTGTAATACTATATACAGTAGGATTTGAACCCTAGACCTCTTGCATGGCGGTCTGGCAACCTAACCACTACACTAAGATCACCAGACCCTATTATTATGCTGTTAATAAATCAATAAATTATATGTAGCAGTATAGTACATTTAAACTAGTTCTAAACTTATGCTCTATTTACTAATTAGTACCTTTTTCTGGATATATTACAATATTATGACCTGAATTCTTATAATAGCTACAATAATTGCACTTTTGTTTGTTAGATGAGCCTTTTGTATCTTTAGATTTTTGCTGATTTTGCTTATTAGACAAAGTTCTTGTATCTTTTGGTTTTTGACTTTAGTTATTATTATAATGTGTGAATGCCTTCAGTCTACCTTTAGTAGCAACTTTTAATAGGTTTCTAAATTTAAAAGCTAGTGCGTTCTTTTTACTTGACTCATTATTTAACTCATTACTTAACTCGTTACTCTCTGAATCAAACATTTAAATTTGGGTAAAATTCTTTTTACGTTTATATATATTAGACAAATAAGTCTTAACTATATTAACAAACTCATCATCTTGATATAGAGACATTTACTTGTTGCTTTACGTACTAGCTCTCATACTTCTCTGTAAAACATATGTTCTTTTATAAGATCATTATTGTGATTATTTGTATAATTTTGCTCATTATTAGTTAATAGTTGAAGATATCTGAAGTGCTAATTAGTTTGATCTAATTTGTTATCTACACTAGATTCATCCATAAATCATTGTCCATAAAAATTAGACTCTTCCATTGCATTATTGCGATATTTTCTAAGTATCTATTAGATATTAATAAGTCACAAACTAAACTATGCTGCCTTAGTAATATTTAGAAAATAAAAGAAATGCTGATAAACAAGTTCTCACTTTTGCTGTAACAAGCATATACAACTGTAGGACCTATCAGTAAGACAAAAAATTACATGATTCATATTATGTTCTGTTAATCTAGTAATATTCTAAATTTCATTAATTTTTCTCTGATCTAGTTATTGCAAAAGGAATTATACATACATAAGTACACTATCAGGTTCATTTTCAAAATTCTTATTTTTAGATGAATTATTCGTAAGTATACATTTAACTTCTTCTATGTTAGAACAAGAAGCTATATAAAAAACACTTTTTTTCATTTGGCTAATGACAAATTTTGCCATATTTGCCTGTAGATAATGACTAACAAGCGTTTCAATTTTCAGAAATACTGTTGATACATTAACTACTGAAGGAATTTCTCTGATATGTTCTTCATATTTTTTCTCTTTTTGAATATTCTCAATGTAATTAATTATAACTTTTCCAAGTTTATATAGAGACATGTTACTGCTTTCAATAATACGTTTAATGCAAGTATTTTGATTTTCAACAAATAAGGTTGATTTAATGCTAAGTGTAAAAATTGTTGTTGTAAATCTATGTACCCATACTTCATACTGTCCATACAAGTGTTTTTGAAGGTATTAATTTGCTATTAGATGATTTGCAACTATTTTATTCCAATAATAATAAAACAGATCAGGAGTATCACTATTGTAGTACTTCTAAAATACAGAATAAAAATCAGAAAATGATACTTCCAATTTTTCACAAAATATTTTTTTTAGATTTTCTTTTAAATGCCAGATATAGAGGATGTAATGAGTTGTAGAATATTCAGTAGAAATTGTATATTCTATAGCAGGGTCACTGTCAGTGACAAATATATTAGGTACTTTCTCTTGTGTTGCTTTTTTCATCATATGCAAAACCCATTGGTATGACTCTGTAGTTTCATCACTTAATAAGGCTTGTGCAACTATTTTCTAATGTTATTTCTTTATCTGCGTCTATATTTTCTACAGGGATGAGGGCTTCAATTGGCATTTTAGCCTGTCGTCCATAGGTTAATTCAAAGGGAGTATATCCTGTGGTAGAGTGTCTTTTTGTCCTATATGCAAATAAAACAGCAGGTATATGTATGTCCCAGTCTTCATCTTGTTCTTTCACTTTTGCAAGAGAGTTGCAAAGTGTTCTATTTAATCTTTCTACCATTCCATT